TCTATAATAAAAAACAAACTACTCCCATTATAACTTGAGTGACAATAGAAAAAACTATATTTAACTAAGGGTTCGGGAAACTACCGCTTATTTAATTATAGGAGTAAAGTAGCTGATTTAGTTTCCTTTACACCATTTTAAAAGAAAAGAAGACTGCACCACACTGGCATCAGTATTACCGTTTTCCTGGTTGGAAAACAGCCTACTTGCACTGGAGACCGTCTTCCCGATGTCAGCCAGAGAGCGCAGGTTGGACTTCTTGGTCTGGTGGCGATGTCTCCGGAGCAACGTGTACATCACTTTGTCCTTCAGCTCTGGCTTCAGCTGGCCGATCTCTATTTGGTTGTCTGTGATCAGCTCTGAAGGTGCAGAGAGGGGAGAGGGAAAGAAGAGGGTGAGGAACGATGATTTCACTCTTTTTCTGGAGGGAAGAAAGCTTAACCACTGTTTTTAAGATTTGACAACTATATAATTAGACCCGCCAAAAAACTACTATTGTCTTGTAATTGCTTATTTCGTCGTAAAAACCTACATTTATTCAACTTGCAGGGTGGGAAAAACACCAGCAAAGCCTCATGTCAACTGACTTTATATGCAACATAGACATTACAATTTGAATTTAAATGTTTTAGCACATCATTATTTTTCTTACATGAATTCATCAAGAATTTGGAGCCAAAAAGAAAAATGAATACAAAACAAACCCTATCATAGGTCTATCTCTTCCCTTCGTGCAGCCTTCGGCAGTCTTAATTTAGTAACAACACAAAGCAAATGCATGAGGCGACATAAAAAGTCCCTTCACTTTTGCAAGGCTTTAATTAGTGCCACCCAGACTGTAATGCTCCTGTATGAAAGTCTTCCTGGCATCATGAAACGGCTCAATCAAAAGGTCTTGGCTATTTTTAAAAAGAAGGTCAGGAGCCTCAATGGTGAAAGATAGAAGCCTCAGGGAGTTCCTCTTCTTGTGGAGGGGCAGCGCTGTTAATGGCCCATCAGTCAAGCCTGCCGGCCTCAAAGCAAGAGGCCCAGCTCCACTGTGTTCGCTCAGTCCGTGCAGCGCTCTCAATTACATCACATTAATCACTCGCAACTGGTAACTCTTCCTCCGGCTCCCTCATGCAGACAAAAAGGAAGAGGGTTGGCTGTCCTCAAATAAGGAAGTGTGTGTCCGTTTACAAACTACTATTTGAGTTCCTCACTGTTCCAACATCAAGTACAGTATTGGATGGACTAGACTATGGAAGCGACCTTTTGTTTCACTTAAAGCGAAACAGAGGAAGGAAGTAAATCCTCAGAGCCCCTTGTGTGATGGCAGGAATCAATAAACCTGCACGCAACACATCGTACATCACAGAGCAGACAACATCTAACTGGCAGACGAGTTTTCTTCTGACCTTCTTCATTGGGTAACAGTTAAAAAAAAGACATACACATTAAAACTCAACATGTGGAGTGATTATATGCCATAAAAAAAGCCTTGGCACAATTATTTTTCCCAGAATGATTTTGTTTTAAAGAGACAATAAAATGTATTTTATATGAATGTTTTTTTTAATGGTTACTGTGGGGTATGGTTAGGACGTTAGGTGACTTGTGTTTCTATTAAAAGGGCAATCCCCAGATTCTATATTTTAAAATGAATGTGGTAGTCATGAACAGTAGTATTCTGCCTGTGTAAACTGTAATGTCCTCTGTGGGTCTTGTAGAGTTTTGAAAAGTCTGCGAGACATTGAGTCATTTTAGTTTGGGCTTGAAGGGGATACATTTACAACAGAAAGCCTGTGTTACAAACTGATGATGACAACTTTGAAAGGCATATACAGCATGGAGAGTCTCATGAAAGCACTCTATATTAAGAAGCATTAAAAGGGGGATGAAGAATTTCAAGTTTTCTGTTTTCAATCAGTCTCTTACAAGTCCCCGAATCTTTTTGTGAAAAATGTGTGCTCTTTTAATAATGGTCAAGTACTGAGAAAACACCAACTCTAGCCAACTTACCAACAACCTGAGGTAGAGTGGAAGCTTCCAGGTCCAGCATGATGGTGCCCTTCTCTATGCACGTCCGCAGCTCAAAGAGGCTGTGTAAGGACAGCGTGGCCACATGGGGTTTACTCCAGCGTTCACCTCCTTTCTCTACCTTCTCCTCAAACTTGATCCACCTGGAGGAATGAAAAGGGGCAGAACAAGGATAGGATTAAACTGGGAACCTGAAGACAGCTACATACAGTAACAGATCATTTAAACAGGGCTTGATATGATCTTTTAGGCCATATTCTTTTAAGTACTTACAGTATGTGAAAGTGTAATTCAGCTCATTAAAGAATAATGAACTAACCTACAGATGGTGACCTTGTGAAATCAAGCATCAATACAGGATAACACAACATATGAACAGTTTTTACTGTATTAGTGTAAGGATTTACATTTTAGTTTTTCCATAATTTAAAGGTCCCATGTCATGGCCATTTCTACTGATCATATTTCCATTGTTGAGGTATACTAGAATAGATTTATATTGTGCAATTTTCCAAACTCACATTGGTTTCTCATACAGCATCTCTGTATAATATTTGTCTGACTCTGTCCTAAACGGCTTGGAGCTCCTGAGAAAAGGTTGAGTGTGTGTGTGTGTGTGTGTGTGTGTGTGTGTGTGTGTGTGTGTGTGTGTGTGTGTGTGTGTGTGTGTGTGTGTGTGTGTGTGTGTGTGTGTGTGTGTGTGTGTGTGTGTGTGTGTGTGTGTGTGTGTGTGTGTGT